GAGGATTCAGGAGATTTTGAGAGTTGGGGTTTGACTTTTTTTAGGAGAGAGAAAGAGTGAAGTTGGTAAAGGTGAGATTGAAATGAAAATCGAGGAGAAAGAAGAGGGTCAAAACCCGATTTCAGACGTGCGCGCCCGCGCACGCAAGTTAGCGCCCGCGCACAAAGATACAGCGTGCCCACGAGGAGGTCGTGCACTCCCCGCGCAGAGCTTCTGATTTGGAACTGCCTTTAATGAGTTTTTCGGTGCACGCCCGAGTACATGTCACTACGCGCCCGCGCAGACATCCTGCATGGCTTCTGTTTTTTTAAATTTCCTCTCGTGAGAACACCATATTTTGCAAGAAGCTTGTTGAAGGCATGATGCTTGAAATGAAATCCTCCATCACTAATAATGGCCTTGGGAATGTCAAATCTAGGAAGATCACCTTCTTGAACGAATTCATCACCACCTTAGAGTCATTGGTGGGCGGTGCAACAGCTTACGTCCACTTTGAAACATAATCCACCGCCACTAAAATATATCGATTCCCACAAGAAGCAAAAGGACCCATGAAATCAATAGCCCACCCATCGAAGACCTCAGGCTCAAGAATAAGGGTTTAAGGCATTTCATCTCGTTTTAAAATATTCCCCGTTCTTTGCCACCTATCACAACTCTTGACAAAGGACCATGAGTCCTTGAATAAGGTATGCCAAAAGAACATACATTGTGGAACCTTTGAAGCGGTCTTTTGAGCACTCATGTGACCACCACATGGTGAAGAGTGGCACATGGAGAGAACATCTTGAATCTCATGATTGTGGACACACTTCCTTAGGAGACCATCGACTCCCTTTTTTAGCAACATGGGATCATCCCATATACACCTCTTAGCTTCATGCTTAAGTCGTCGACATTGTTGAGGAGTGAAATTCGGAGGAATGGCGCTACAAGCCAAATAATTCACGATGTCGGCAAACCATGGCTCTGATTTATCCTCAAGGGCATATAAGACGTCATCCATCAGAGCATCCTCTATTGGCAAATCATCCTCATGAATCCTAGCACCTCCTAATCTCGAAAAGTGGTCCGCAACCACGTTTTCGGCCCCCTTCTTATCTCTCATTTCATAATCAAAATCTTGAAGAACCAACACCTATCTCAACAATCGAGGCTTGGCTTCCTTCTTACCGAATACTTGAGAGCCGAGTGGTCAGTATACACTATTGTCTTAGAGCCAATAAGATAGGCCCTAAACTTCTCAAAGGAATGAATGGCCACTAAGAACTCTTTCTCGGTGGTAATGTAATTTTGTTGAGCATCGAGTTTTAAACAAATAGTGTATGACATGGAGCTTTCCATCGTTCCGTTGTCGGCTTGGGAAATCTTGTGGCCAAAGACTATGCCACTTTCCACCATAAAGTGGCATTTTTCCCAATTCAACATAAGATTGGCCCTCTCACATCTTTTTAAACAACGAGATAAGTTGGAAAGACAATCTTCATAGGTGACTCTCCCAACAGAGAAATCATCCATGAAGTCTTCCATTTCTTCGTCAATCATATCACTAAAAATGGACATCATGCAACGTTAAAACGTTGTGAGAGCATTACAAAGACCGAATGGCATCCTACTGTAAGCAAAAGTACCGTAGGGATATGAGAAGGTCGTCTACTCTTGATTGTTCGGGTCTATGGGGATATGGAAAAATCTCGAATAACCATCGAGAAAGCAAAAGAAGGCATATCTTGTAAGCCTCTCAAGCATTTGATCGATGTAAGGTAGTGGAAAATGATCTTTGGAAGTGCTTGTGTTCAATTGACGATAGTCAATGCACATTCTCCGGCTAATGAAAACCTTGGGATTAATTAATTCTTATCATTTTCCACTACCGTCATCCCTCCTTTTTTTTGGCACTACTTGAACCGGGGATACCCAATCACTATGAGCTATTGGGTAAATGATCCCCGGAAACTTCTTTCCTTACAACCTCTTACATGGAAGGATTAAGTTTCCTTTGCCTTTGCCTACAAGGCTTAGCACCCTAACAAACCTCACAATATTTGGCATGTCCTTATTCCTCTTAATGAGACCTATTTATAGAAAATCCCTCCTAACAACTCTCTAGCTTATTCCCCAAGTTACTACTAATAGACTATGACTAATATGCCCTTCCCTCAAATATTGATTCCTTGCATTACTCGCCGCCCAAACTTTCACCTTGTCCTCAAGGTGGATTATAATCGGAACTGGATTCCCGACAACAATGATTGCTAAGCTGACTCTTGAATTAGCTAAAATTGAGAATGGGTAGATTCCTAAAAATTGATGAAATACAAGAATGGCTTTAAGAGTTGAAGAATTGGACCGTATAAGAGATGAAGTGGTTTGTTGAAAGGTCGGAAAAAAATGATAATTGATAGATTGAGCAATGAGTGTTGGAGAAGGAAATTTGGGCCTTAGGTCAGTAGGTCCATATTTGAGCCTTTCCTTCTTTTAAGAAAAAGGTTTTTTAGGTAAGCAGCCAACAAAACTTCCAAACCCATTGTTTTGATTTGGATTGGTTTGCTCGCAATTTAACTGTTTTAGTGGCACGTGACCTAGCTGATTGAATTCACTTGTAATAGCTTCAAGTGATATGACCATAATACCCTTATTAGCATATTCCATTTCTAAGTTCCTCTCAAAGCCAACAAGAGACCCACCAAAGCTTCTCTAATACTCCTCTCTTTATATAACCATTGAAGTTTCCCACCATCGATTCCGCCGCTCACAAAGGGCCCTCTACTGACCAAGCCACCTCCATCCTGACCACCGCCGCCGAAAAAACCCACCCGAGAAATCACCATTCCTCCCCAAGTACTTCTTAGATCAACGTTCAAAATTGTTAGCCCACTAGCAGCCCCTTGTTCACGCTCACCGCTCCAACAACCTAGACCACCACCAGTCTTGCCGGCGTAAAAACCAACGCCATCTCCTAACCCACTTCCATCGGTAGGGGTGAGCACGGATCGGATATCTGAAAATTTTGGATCGAATAACCGTATCTAAAAATGCAAATATTTGATATCCGTATCCGACCCGAAATTTTTCGGATATCCGATATTCAAAAATTTCGGATTAGATAGTTCGAATATCCAATATCCGACCTTTCTAATAATTTGGTTTTTCTTACACGAATAATAATGTTAGAATACTAATTTATTGGCAAAATTAATTTGTTTTTAAAGGTAAATTAATAAATATCAGACTCATAATAACAAGCTACAATTATTCATATATTTTGAGTCTAATAATCCTACAAATTTCATAATTTAATAATACACAGATTTCAAAATCTAAAATCAAAAGAAAGAAGAAGAAAAAAAAAACCAAATGACAAAAAACCAAAGATTAATTTGGTGTCAGATCGGAATAAAAAGTTAAAGACCCCTTGTAAGACTTATATACAAACAAATCATTTAAAACCAAATTAAATTTTGCCAACATTTTGCCACTCTTCAAGCCTCCATATCGGAGCCTCACTTGGTCTCCATTTTACGTCGCCAAACCACCTTAGGGGATTGTCTCACATCTTCTTCCTTAAACCACCTTAGGAGATTCTCCCGCATCTTATATTCAGTAGTTGTAGCCCCTACTATTCAGTAGATACTAACAAAATTACTTAGGAGATTATTAGTTAATGTACAAGTAGATACGAGAATATGACGTATATATAAAGTAGGAATGAGAGTGATGGGGAAGCCTTGAAGACAGTGATAAAAAAATGTTGAAAGTGGGGTGGATATAAAAGAAAATGACTTTCAAGAGGGGACAAAATAGCCATCAAATGAAATGTAGTGGAATTGAGATGATAATTGGACTCTTTGTATACAGCAAATAATTAAATTACCATTGATGTATCATTTCTGTAAATAATATGGCCATTTCATTCTTGTCATTACAAGTTTTTTGTCTAACAAAAAAAAAAAAAAAAAAAAAAGGACCCTTCAGATTGCTAAAGTTTGATCATTGCCGCATGCAGCCTGCGGATTGGCTGTGCCCCACATATGGTGCTTGCATCAGAGCTCCACTTCTTATGTTATTTTTGTGCCCAGCAACATTATTAAGAGCATCTCATGGACAGAACAAAAGCATATTAATGTGGATCTTATTACTTTTGTAAGCCCCTTACTCTTCCTTAGCTCAAGAAACGATGCGAGTCTTCAGCAGCAGCAGCAAGCAGCTTTCCCTTCTTCCCCTTTCTTTAAGGCAACTCAAGGAAACTTCCACGGCAATGCTGAAGCTCTTTTAAGTAGAGAATAGCATTATGTGCTCTGTTTCCCCATTTTTGCCCATATGCTTAAGGGTAATAACTTAGTCTATCTGCTATGGAGGGGTTAGAATTGATCAAATTTTCATGCAATGAAAGCCAAAATCCAAATGGTTTTCAGAGACCTAAAGTTGCAAAGTATTGAATCTACATGCATTCTCAGACTATTTAACCCTATTTTATTATACTGTACAATCAATGTCTTAATTAGATAATTAATTTGATATGTAATCACTTTGTGCACATGATGAGGTGACTTTACGACAGCCTTTCCTAGGAAATGAGCTCACATCCACCACTGATGCAAAATTAAAGAATGGTCGGCTGAGTTTTACAGAGTGATTAAAATCCTCTCTAGTAGAGATAAAACAAAGGGGCCAACAATGTTTGAAAGGGATTGTGGTAGCCTATAGACCTAGATACAAAAATATGGTACTATGTTACTGATTTTCCCAACAAATAATTTAATAGTATAAAAAATATAAAATAAAACATAAAACCATCTACAAAACTTCTCTATCAATCAATCAATCAAACCATCTACAAAACTTCTCTATGCTTATCAATAATCACCAACCTTACCTCTACCTCCTTAAAACATCTCTCACACAAAATTATGGTACTGTGGTATAATAAAAACAAGAGGAAAAAATAAAATGAACACACTCAATATAGAAATCTAAAGGCGTGATAAAGACAGACATACCTCAGCATAGTCACTGATAAATCACCACAAGCATGAAGACCAGCAAGAACCAGTGATGATTCACAATCAGAATCATTACCACTGGATGGAAGTTCCAGGTCTGCAGCCTCAAATCTTGCAGGAGAAATTTGGTTGGACCCTTTTATTTTGTGATTTTTATCAAATCCATCTTGCTGACAGCAGTAGTTGCTAAGGTTTCTCAACATAGATGAAGACAGTACGCGGCATGTCATTGTGATAGGCATATTTTGCAGCCCTTTGCTAATCTAGCACAGTATAATGGTATATCAGTTTGCTACAGAACAAGAAAACAGCAGCTAAAAATTGTTGGTATGAAGGTCCATAAAGGAACGTAATTGTTAGGAAACCGGGTGGTGTTGTGTTTGATTTATACGGAACAAGTCAATGAAATATAATAACGAGAAAATAATATAAAGATAAACAAAAAACACAAGGATTTACGTGGTTCGGTCAAATTAGATCTACATCCAGAGGTGGGGATTCGAGAGCTTTTTCACTATAATGGAGAACGAAGGAGAGAATAATACAAGGAGTCTTTATTCTTAATGGGCTCTAAGATGTGATCTAACTGATCACCTAAAGGGTCCTTTTATAACATAAAGAACCTAATAAAACCCTAGAGTACACCCCAACTATATATCTCAAAAAGCCGTCATGTGGAAAAAACTGATTTTATGAAAATTTTCCATATGACTAATATTCTGAATTTTAAAATTTTATATAGATCAGCTTGTGTTTCATTGATAGAGACATCAACCCAATGCAAGTGCCTGAAATTCAAATAAGAACCTTAACGTAAAATCTATATCCAAAATAAGCCAAATTGAAAAAGCTCTTTAAATTTTCCCAGATTCCCAAATTGTTGAAAAATTTACATTATTTCAGATATAATAAATACTAATTGTATACAGCATCTGCGCTAAAACTAAAATTTTTTATCAACTCCCCGTCCCCAACCTTGCCACCATGATGGCCACTATGTCACCACTCCACCACCAGGACACCATGACACCATACATTGAAATGATCAAACAATTCCCCAAACTTCCAAATATTAAGGGCGTATTTACCTTTAAAATATGGTCTGACATTTTCTTATCTTCAGTTCCTGACTTGATATAGAGTTTCTATTTAACAAACAAAGAGAATTGTACTAAACATTTCAAGAGGGGGGTGGTGAGGGATTGGAAATATCACTTCCACATCACATATAAGTTGTACTCCCTTAGTTTTCTTTTAATATACTCACTTTCCTTTTTAAATTTTACTTTGCGTTTTTAAAAAAGGAGCCACCACTCTTTCGCCCCTATTGAGGTTCTACCATTCTTCTATCCTCCTTTCTAAATGGAGAATTGCCCTTACTCTCACAAAAACTATTTACATGTCACTTTCACCTTTTACTATTTTCTACATCCTAAGTTTAAATGTTTTTCTTGGTAAATGTGAAAAGATAAGTTGGTAAACTAAAAAGAAAATGAAGGAGTAGAATATTTCATTTATTTGACGTGTATTCCTACGGAAAACAGACTTGTGTAAGTAGTTGCTTATGTTCACGAAAAGCTTCACCTTCCAAAAGCTTCCCCTCTTCGAGAACTAGACTTCAAACTTTTTAATCACCACAATATTTTTCATGTAGAATTTGTTCCTATATCCTTTCTGAAATCTTCATATTAATTTTGTTGATAAAAAATTTATAAGTAATCTACAGGCTAGAATTAACTTCAACAGCTCGTCAAGAATGTTGCTGGAGATTGGGTACTCATAGCTTATAAGCTAATGCATTTTAATGGGAGATTGGTATCTACAAACTAGACATAATAGCAAAGGAACATAAGTTCAGCTTTTCACATACCCAGAGTTATGTAGCTTAGCTGCATAATGCTTCTTGATTCTCTCTGCACGTATATTTGTAATAGCTCCATGATGAGAAGAGGCGTCAATGGCAACTACAGGTAACTGGTGTTGAAAGGCAAGTACCAGACTCAGGTAGCCCTGTAATTGGTTGATTAGCTAGATAAATTAATCTTGAATCCGAAACAAAAGTGGAACAAGATTATTTACCTGACCAGCACCAACATCAATCACTGTATGAGCTCCCATATTTCTCGTGATACAGCTTACAAGAGAAGACAAAACCTCAACCTTCACAACAAAGGAATTTAGTTCAGTGGCTTACATAACAAAATGGTTTGCAAAATACAAAGGGAATATTTGATAGGCAAATGGTAAGATGGAATGAGGAATAATTGTTAACCCTATGCATCAATGGGATTCCTTTCCCTGGATCATATACTCACATAGTCAGGGTTCCTAAATGAATGCATGATAATGCTGCAATATAGTTCCCTAGCATATTATTTTTTTTTTTTAAAAAAAAAAAAAAATTTGTTCAAATCCTAAGGTCACTTAGATGAATGGAACATTATAAAAGATTGGACCAGCCAATGAATATCACTCTGTTAAAGCTAATAAAAAGAGACCTGGCTAAACCCAGGCCAAGTTATAAATTACAGAAATTGATCAGTCAAAAGAGACCAAGTAACTACACAAAAACCCGCAACCAATGAAGTGCCAGCAACTCCCTGGTAGAGAGGCTACTATAGACAATTCTAGCATACTAAAAATATGCACACAGTTTATAACTTCATTTAGGTAAATAACCCAAAACAATATTTTCTGGAAATGAAACCCTCCATTTTAGTGTCTTCAGAGGATATTTCAAAGCATAAACAAGTTCAAAGTGCACAACTAGAATCAGAGTGTGTAACTGGTTGTTCATAAATTAATGAGAGAAACAGGAAAAGACAACAAAAATAGTACCCCTGTCTTTAATTGATCTTAGCATTTTCTAATTGATCTTAGCATTCTCTAATTGATCTTAGCATTTACTACTTGCACAATTATAAAGAAATTAGGCGAGTGGGTGGGTGTAAGAAATAGGTGGTAAAGTAAGAGAGGTGTAAGAAAGTGAGTGGGTTTAGGAAAAAAAGGTGGATAGTGAGTAGAAAGGTGTAAATATTGTGGCATAAGAGGGGTAAGGTAGTAGGAGTTTGCCAAAAATGGAGTAATTTGAAAGTGCTAAGAATATTTGTTAGTAGAAACAAGCCAAAACACGTGGTGCTACAATCATTTAGAAATCAGAACAGAGGTGGAATAAGTATAATTAATAAATAAGGTTCATGTTTACGATCAATGATCGGATTATAGAATTTAACAATCACAACCATAAAGTTCTAACTTGGTGTACACAAAAACTTCTTGAGAAACATCAATCGACAACAACCACCATAATTACATTCACGACACAATAAACAACGCACATCCATTTAAGCAGTGTTAAGGTTTAAATATATTCAGATCCAACCCTAACAACCAAGCAAACCTGGAATATGTTAAGCTTTTAATATAAACTACACCCTATCTTATTTGTTAATCAAACAGTTTTTAATCGACTTTATGTATCTAACATGGGTTGTAAATCCATAAAAACATAAAATATTGTGAGTAAAGAAGGTGCATGGCGAAAAGATGAAAGGGGAATACTTACTTCATGCTTTTTCTTGGGATTCATGCCTTGTGAAAGGACACAATTTAATGATGTCATGCTTATTCCAGGTAATTCCTGCAAGACCATTTATAAAACAATAGCATATGTTATACAAGTTATATGGAGAAAGCTCATCCAGTGCCCACTTTCTAATTTTAACCATATACATAACATATTCCTAGCATGCAAGAAAGTAGAAAGTTAACTAAATATAGACTCCCCCAAGTAAAAAACAATGGTTACTGGGATAGTGTACTTTGATTTAACAATGTGAGTATGTGACAATCAAAGGCAGACAGTTAGTATACCGATACTATAACGAAATTGCAGCCTGATTCTCAATGGGTGGGTGGAATGAGTTTATAATCTACCCATTTCACATTCAGGTCTGTCTTATTGTTCATCTTGCAAGCTAGTATGTCCAGTAGATCTATTATGCAGATGAAACCTATGCTAAGCATGAAACACCGAGCATTCAACTAGCAGCCATCTCAGCGATTGAGAAACTAGCTTATGACTATTGTTTGTTAAGTAGGGGATTTGTAGACTGAAACAAAAAAATATAACAAGCAAACGTATAACTGACAGAAGCTCTAGGAAGGCAAGATCCAGATGGCCAGCAAATTCCATTATTACTGATATTTGGTCCAGCTTAAGCAGAAATAATAGTATAATACTCCGTACTGCGCAAACAGAATTATTGGAAATAAATACTATCTTTAAATTAAACATAAAATAGAAAATGAGAGCATAATACATGCTACAAATATGTTGATTAGTTATCCAAATATGTTATCATTCTTATTAGCCGGTGAAGCTTTATAAAGTTGCAAATTAAAAAGAAGATAAATAGGGTGTTTGTTGGCAATTTACACTATATTTGGATAACAACATGGAAGAGAAAAGAAGGGGAGGGGAAAGATTGAAAGAAAGGGAGGGAGGAGATGGAGCTCCATTTCCCTCAATGCTAGTTGAAGAGGTCCCTCCCCTCCCCCCCCCCCCCCCTCCTTCCTACAAATTCTTATCCAAACAAAGGGATTTGCTCCCCTTCTTTTCCCTTCCATCCCTTTCTATCCATTTTTTTCTACTAAAATAATATGTTGATCTCCCACAAACAATTATAGGTTCATTAAGCATTTGTCGGAAATGTTGAAGATTATTTTGCAAATTGAATTTAATTTTAACATAATCTAGTTTATATCACTAGGAAGTTAAGTATCTTTAATCAAATTCACTAAGTACATGTTCTCTTCACTTGGAATATGTTATTCTTCTCTAGATATATTAAGATCTGATCTCAACTTATCTAATCTAAAGTTTTCTTGTTTTACTGAACCTTGACCAAATTGTACTCTAGTAGAAAAATACATTGTCAAGTGGGGTCTTAATAGATTTGTGCTAATGTGTATTTTTGAAATATCTAATATTCATTGAATATATTAATATGAAATTCCAAATATTTTCCAATAAGAATATGCAAAGAATAGTTTCAGGTATGATTTGTTACGGTCCAATTTTAATCAGAAAAAGGAACAAGTTACTAAAACAAAGTGAAGTGAACATAGCCTAAGAAGATGAATGAAAGGATCAAATCCCTAAAAACAATAAGATTTAATACTAACAATGGTTGTAAATTAGATGGATTAATCATTTGTATATGAAGAATAGGAATTGGAAGAGAGTTCCTTGTGTTAATTTAGCTAGCTAGAATTGGAAGCAAATTTGGCAGCTGAAGGAGAGATTCAAAGTAGGCTATACTGGGCAAAGATGGCTTGCAAATGAGAAAGGGTATACTGTTGCTGGGTATAATATATAAATGGTTGAAACCTGACATGCCTGATGTTCCTTGGTGTGACTGGATTTGGAACAGATTTAATATCCCGAAGCATAGTTTTGTAGGGTGGATGATTCTGTGGAGGAGAATCAAGGTGAAAACTAGACTAGCTCAGTTTGGCATGTTGCTTGCCCTTTATGCAATCTGCATGATGAAACTGTGGATCATTTGTTCTTTGACTATCAGTATAGTAGTCAAGCTTGTTGCATTGCTTTGAGCTCTATTTTGGGTATTCAGTGTCCAAGCTCTTTGGATGACTCTAACACTAAGCTTCTGAGTATTTCAGGCAGATTTAAGAGGAAGGTAGCTCAGAGTTGCTTCACTGAAATTCTTTATGTTATTTAGCAGCAGAGGAACAAGGCTATTTAGGATCCTTGCTTACAGAGTCCTCAGAGGGTGGTAAAGAATCTCTTATGTGATATTTACCAGAGATTGACCCACATTATGCCTCAGAAAACAAGCAGGAAGAATAGAGATTGGATCAAGTGCCTCATTGCATGATCTCAGTTTCGTTTTGTTTGTCTTGGTGCTAGGCTGTGCTGTTGTTTTTGTTTTGTTCTAAGGGATTGTAAGATGGTTTTTTTGTGCCCTGTTATTATCGGGGCTGTTGTATTGTGTTCCTCGTTTTTGGTGATTAATAAAATTTTACCTTATTTCAAAAACGAAAAACAACGGCTGTAAATTAAATATTGTCTAGCCAAACAAGAACAAATTATAAGTATTAAGCCTTTATTACAGGTCATGATCCTGCTACATTATAAACTGTGAGTTTATTTATGTAAAAAGGTCTAGAATGGGTAGGAAACCATTCCCAAGCAACTTGAAAAAAAACCTAGTCACCTAACAATACTAGTTCAGTTTATTATGGATAAGATTAATTAATGATTTGCTGTTATCCCACATCTTACAGCTGATTTTTTTTTTTTTTTTTTTTGACAATTAAAATTACTGGCTTTAATACCATAAAGGTTTTTGATAAATTGAGAGTTTACACAAGGAGCACAAAAAAATAGAATCAATTTAATGCCTATTAATAATACTATCAGCTCATGAACTGCAGCAGAACAGCACAGCAGACTGCAACTGGTAAACCAGTCTGACCAAAAATTGATCTCAGTGATGACATCAGTAATCTAACCTCCACCCATTTTCTGGAAAGGTTTGAAAAGTAAGAGCTTTTCAATTGCATGAGACCATTCAGAGAAACCCGCAGCACAGAAAAACACAATTCTGCATTGTAGGATAACCCATAAAACACAACAGAATTTGCACAAACCACAGCAAAGATCCAGTTGATTTCAAAACTGACTAACAAACCAGCTTAAACAGCACACTAAAAGAGACAAAAAAAAAAAAAAAAAAAAAAAAAAAAAAAAGGGTGGCTGAGAATCCAACAAAACCTTTAGACTTGCCCAAAAATAAACCCAGCCAAACAAAAGCAGCCACAGAAAACAGTTTTAAGATTCCAGTAGCAAAACATTTCTCAAATATTGAGCAGTTCCCAGGATTTACCGTGATAGCATATTTCATACTATTTCTCTATGACCAAATACTATAGACTACTTCAGCAAAAATAATACAGTAAAAATGTGATTGATTTTTTTGTTCACTGCAGTATGAGCTTCATCTTCCATGTCAAAAACAGGTCTATTGCAATCCAGCAACCTCGGCAGGGCTGAAGCTGCACTATAATCACAGTATAACGAATGCTGAAGCCTGTCACTGTTAGCATTGCCAGACCGTAAAGCACATCACATGGTACATTCCATATTGGCAAATGCTAGCATTCTATGATAGAGCATCAACCAAGTAATAGAAAGACAGTTGGAAGTTGCCACATTGTTGCAAGCCCTGCAACTAATTCCCTTCACAACCCCAATTTCTGGTGACAGCCACTCAACAACTTGTAAAACTGTTAAACAGAAAAATTACAAGCTTTGAGGGTTGAGCACTTGAGCATCATTCTTCAAATTGATCAACGTATTTCGTAAAGCTCAAATCTTCCCAACCATCCAGAAAAGAGTATCCAAAAAAGTGTAAGCCCACAAACTTTTTCTTATTAAACAGGGTATTCTCCTTAATTGATTGAACTCACAAAAGCTTTGAAATGGCAAAAATATTCGAAACATGCATTTTTATGACATTTAACTCACCAGCAACAAAGAGCACATTATAAAGATGGAGGCTACGGAAATGCGCATGTTAAGGTGGATGTGCGGGAACAGTCTAAGAGATAGAATCAGAAATATGGTTATTTGCAAGAAAGTGAGTGTGGCAGGCTTTGCAGCGTTAATTTGTCTGCGTTGGTTTGGGCATGTAAGACGGAGACCCGAGGGTGCACCGGTACGAAGAGTGAAAGAGTGGAAGAGTGGGACCGTGGAAGGGTTAAACGAGGGGGAGAGAGACCAAAAATGACTTGGTTGGAAACAATTAGGAAGGATATGAAGTATATGAATTTGCATGAGAATGACGCATTTGATCGTTAGGGATGGAGGAGGAAGATTTTTATCGATAACTACACGGAATAATCACTTTTGTTTCATATAGCCGACCCCACTTATGGGATTAAGGCTTTGATTGATTGATTGATTCACCTTATGTAAGAACAATATGTCAAAGACAAAGATCCAACAACATTTCATGATTCTTCATAATCTTTTTGGCATCATCAACATCTTGAAACTAGATTGTCTACGAATCGAGAAGAATAAGAAGAATAACTTTAATAGGTTGTAGCTTGCTTGCATAAGATAAGGTCTAAAAATCTTGAATCCAGCCAAAATTTTATACACTAATGGGCTTAAATTGGCTAATACAACTCCAAGATAACAGTGGTGTTGGACAATAACTCCGTCAACATCTAACAAAATGCAATTCCAAAATCTCATACAATTGTTTTTCTGGTACAATACAGCTTTTCTTATACACATTCACAACATCATTAGTAGAAAATAACAAAAATAATATTTGATGATTAACCATCCATTCAAAAAAAAAGGATTTATGAGCTTTATACCTTTTCAAGCTTTGCTCGTTCTCGTGGAAATGCAAGCAATTTGGCAGTGAGTACATATTCCTTGAGCGAAGCAGGCCAATGGTCCTACAATATTTCATGAATTTCTGTTAAATTCACACCTCAAGTTTTCTCATGGAAACCAACATCAATATAGTATTGCTCACCCATTTCTCATTAATCACACTAATAACAAATATGTTATTATTCTCCTAATAACATATCAATATACTTGTATAATTTTAAATCCTCATAATTTGAAACAGATATTCAAATAAATTAAAAACACTATGCATTAAATCCTATGAACTATAAACAAATATACAATAGAGGCCATTAATTGACAGTTACCTCAAAAACACATAAGCCTATTCATCAAATAACAGATACTGTGAAAAATTAATGTATTTTACTATTCTATTGATGATTAGTGCAGGAATTACAATCATGAGTTTTAGAATTAAACCTGCACAATTCCAGAAGGAATCTGAAGAAGATGCTCAACATGTTCATGCTTCAAGCAATCAATCCAATCTTCATCAACTGCTTCCCACAATCGATCCTGGGATAAAAGAGAAAAAGCGTCAATAAAACCAAGATGACAGTGAAACTGAAATTGAAATGCAGAATTCAGAGAAGTTGGAACCTTGAGGAAATTGACGACATTAGCTTGGAAGAAGAATTTGTAAGGTTTGAGGAATTTAACAATGGCGTTAATCCACTCAAGGGTTTCAGAAGCAGTGTTGCACGAGTAGTTGCTTTTGAATTCCATTATTCAGTAGACTCAAATTTTGGAACACGAGTAATTAGGCGGAAGAGTAGTCCTCGACGGTATGATAATTACCTTGGTGTTCGGGCGATGTTTATACTATTCATAAAATTTAAGAATAAACATTTTGGCACGTTAAATATAGGCAGTTAGGCATATAATTACTTTTGATGATGTAGGATATTAAGACATATAATATCATATCATGAAATATTTGTGGATATCCATTATCCTCCTTGTATCAATCCGGAATATTATAGATCTAGGATTTATTGTTATCTAAGCAAACCCTAATTATATTGTATGTATATATATCCCCACTCTATGGAATAATAAACTGATCTATTCTTTCTCCATCTCTCATATTTTCTCCTTATTTTATAACACGTTATCAGCACCATTGCTCTAGATTGATTTCAATATCAATTGAAGCATCATAAATTGATTTCACGAACATCAACCAGAAAAATAAATAAATAAATAAAAAATAAATATTTCCCAAACTCCTCTACCGATACCACCGATACCACCGATCCCTGCTGCCACCGTCGGTCAGCCATACGTCGGAGAGGACTCAAGCCCGTAAGCTGTCTGCTGCTGTCGTTCACGGCTCCGGCCTCCCGTGCTCGGTGCTCCACTGCTCCATCATCCACCCATAAAATATTCCGTGGCTTTATAGGTGCATTACTGAATTTTTACCTCTTAATTTCTTATATTTTACATACTATTTGTTTTGTTAATTTGTTTGTAGATTTATATCTTGAATTCTTGATAATAAATTATAATGTATTGAATTCATATTGATTGATTAAGTCGAATTAGATACTTTAGTAGCCAGAAATCAAGATCTTAGTTTCTGGATTTGCTGTAATTCAGGAAAAATAATGCAGAAATTAGAAATAAAATTTGATAATCAATGAAACTAATGAAATTCGAGTATTACTTACCAAATCTGACTTTGCAGAAGCTTTCGAATATATAGAATAAATACAATTGAGAATATTTGGTAAGAGTGAGTAAAATTGATAACAGAGCTTCAATGAAGGAGCCCCAAACACTACCAAATCTGACTTTGCAGACATAAATTTTCTCAATCTCTACTTCCATGAAAAACTCCCTTTTACAGAGTCGTTCTCTCTCTAAAACCTCTTTTAGAGTATTTCTCTCTAGTGGGTGGCGTTTGGTCTGTTGTTTTTTTTCTAGACTTCACTCTTCCCAAGCAGAAATAGGTGTGTGATTAGTAATTTGTTTGATAAGAGAATAGTATTATATTTAGATGAATTATTTGTTAGCTTAAATGAATATTGAAATCTAATGAATATATTTTTGGGGAAACTCCAAATTGATAACCTTGATATGCACATGTGGGTGTGTATCAAGAAGCAGTTTTCGTAGTGGAATCAAAATAATACTTCGTAAAATGATTGAATTTGCATTCTACTACTGTAATTTGCATTTCTCCTTTCTAAAAATAAAAAAATAATATAAAGTTTATAGTTAGTTTCGAAAATCATACAATTTGTGCTATATACTAATATATCGTCTATATGTCTATATATGGCCCTAGTTGGCAGATATACTATTGCAAATCTTGTTATAATTAATTACTTGAAATTAGTCGTCTCATTTGAAGCTTGGTGTATATATATATATATATATATATATATATATATATATATATGTAACTCATTGCATAAGTAATGCACTGTGTTTCGGCAGATCAATTCCGGGTGATGGTTACACCTCTAAAGTATTGCATAGTGATGTTTAGAATTACATCACAATTGAAATTATGTGGAGAGAAAATCACGGATGCAAAAATGTTAGAAAAAAAACATACTCTACTTTTCATGCAAACAATGTTGTCCTGCAGACACAATACCGTGAAAAGGGTTTTACAAAATATTCTGAATTGATATCTTGTCTTCTTGTGGCTGAACAAAATAATGAACTATTAATGAAAAATCATGAATCACGCCCAACTGGCTCTACTCCATTCCCTGAAGCGAATGCGACATCCCATAGTGGGAAAGAGAAAAAGGCTAGAGATCACGCCAGCAGTCGTGGTCGTGGTCGTGGTCGAGGTCGTGGTCGCAGCCGCGGACGTGGAAATGATCGTGGTCGAGGTGGTCATTTTAGGAATTCATACTCTCAACAAAAGTGGGACAATAAAGATGGAAATAAGAATGAGAATGATAAAAATAAAAATATATGCTACCTTTATGGAGGAAAAGGCCATTGGTCTCGTGTGTGTCGCACACCAAAACATCTAGTAGACCTCTATCACTAAGAGTTGTTTTATCAATATCCGAATTTGGAATCTTTTTCCTCGACAATCAATCAAACAGAAAGGAAAGAAAGTGGAAACAAATTTGGTGTATGAGGATGGCGAAGGTGATTTTGATTACGGTGATACAACTCACCTTGAAACAGTTGATTTCTTTCCTAATCCTGAAGAAAATAATTGAATAAATTATGATCCATTGGCGAATAAACTCTATAAATTAGCTTGCATATATTATAGATTTTTATCGTAGTACTATGATTTTATGCTTTATGGGACATTTGTTTTTGGACAATTTTATGTTTTTGGATATTTTTATGTTTTCGGATTTTTCATTATTATCATTATCAGTCATTTATTAATTTAAGTTATTTGGTTTAGTGAATCTTATTTTAGAATATTAAATTGAGAATTTTTAGTATAAAGATTCATATAATTGGGCAAGAGGAACGAATATGAGTTTTATAAGAATCATTTTACTTTGCTTGATACATGCATTGATAAAAGAATTTATGGCATAAAAGGTACAAGAGATTTAAAGATAGTTGGATTAATTTAATGCCCCTACATGCAAGGATTAGGGGTTAAAATAAACCCAAAACTACAGGGTTAAAATAAAGACGATGGGAGAAATAGTAAAAGAAATGACTTTATAAATTTTTAAATAGTTAAATGAAAAATATATATATACTACCAAGAGTGTTGCATTACTAAAATTAATCTAATTGAATAAAATTAAATCTTTATAATGAAATTTCATTATCATATGTCCTTAATAATAGAGTTATATGTATACACTACTACAATGATTTTTAAAATAATAATATAGATATTATACCAGAAACTATAATACATAAAATTTAATACGATAAGTAACATAATTAGATTAGGTAATGTAACACCCCAATAATTCTCTCTTTAAAAACCTGTAAATACCTTTAACAATTTGCAAGAGAATCACTGACGTGCTACCGCCACGTGCTCAAACGTTAAGGCTAGTTTAGAATTTAGCAGCGAAAAAAACTAACTCAGCTATCAATAAATTTCAAAACCAAAAATCAAAACCAAATTTAGTCTTACAAGTTGGAACCATTAAGGCCCTTATTCAAAACCCAATAAAAGTAGTAAATAAATCAAACCAAAGTTTAATTTAATCCAAACTTATGAAATGTAATAAACTATGAGATTAACCAACACTCCACTCAAAATCCCATCACCTTGATGCAAGTTCTGATTAGGTAAGACCTGTGATTAGTCTGCTCCTCAATATTACAAGTGTAAAAATTGGATCATTATAGGGTCATTGATAGGCGAAGGTCATGACCACGAAAAGACACACAAGAGCACTCAATCAGCAACGCTGAGTACATACAAGCTACGAAATATAGCAAAGAACCCTAGCATGTTACTAAAAATCAATCTGCACACACACAATATAATCATTGACTAGAACACATGACTCAATTGTTAACATTACTAAGACTTCACTAATTAATAATAAATAATTCATTTCATTCATTGATTGGATTAAGCAATAGACCAGGTTGTCCCCCTATGCTCCATTTCGGAACATTAATAAAAGAAAACCCTATGCCTCCTTTCGAAAACATTAATAAACATCCAATGGCAGACGGGTGCGACTCCGTGGCCATAGCTAGTATGAGATCTCATCTAACTCATTATAATTTTAAAAGTATTTGAAAACAAGAGACTCATAGATCAGACGACCTCTGAAAAGTACACAGCTAATACCCCGTGTACCCCAACCCCTATTTGTCATTACTCTAGATGTGCACAAATCCAGAGTTTTATTGCTCATCCTTCTTGCACTTTACGTGATTTACCAGTTTAAACTTGGTGATGACTCTAATGCAAAATAATACAATCAACCATACATCTATCATTCAAACAATTCAAATTTCCAATTCAATTCTTGATTTATTAGTGACAAACAATATTTAGTATTGAATCCTTTAACTACCTCGGTGTATAAACACCTTAAGTGCATAAGGCACCTCAATCCTCAACCTCGCCTTATAAGACTATAAATCTCCCTTTACTCATTCCATTTCATTAATCATGAACGAGTAATACAATAATTCATTCCACATATTCACGTACCTTTGCCTCTAAGCTCATCTTGCATGTTAATGCATAAATAATACTTACAAGATAAATTAATAAGCAATTCTCATACATGAAACAAAACCAATCACCACATTAATCACCAATCAAACTTACTACCATACAATTCCAACCAATCTACAAGTTTCCTAACATGATTCTAAGGTTTTCCAAGTCCTTAAACATGCTTCTAAAGTCAAGGTTTTCGTATCCTTGTACGTACCTTGAGTACACGAGTTGGTTGGCCACTTTAGAAACTAGAAATTGCCTTCTACAAAGCCCTCTCCTAAACCAAACAATAATGGTTCAATCAAAACCCAAGCAATATAATTTACAGCAATATTAACTTACTTTAAAACCCCTTAAACCATTGAAATAATGCTTTTAAATTACTCACAATAGTCAAAGTTAATAATTCAATAGTTCAAGTATAAGTTTATATGTTAAAATCATGAAAATATAGCTTATAACATAAAATTTCAGCAACTTTAAAGTAAGGATTATAATCTGGAAATTTAGTTTAGGACTATAAAACAACCTCATAAACATCTCTACTTAAAATTATCATTATATAGTAGGTTAGTATGTTAAAAAACCTAAAAATCCATCATAAAACCATGATTTAAAACCTTTAAAACCAAGATTAAAAATCTATAAATTTAATTTAATAGTAGAATGTATGAATACAACAATCTAAAC